GTGTTGTTATTGTTATTTGCATATTATTCAAATGAATGACTGTATTATGGTAATATTGTTGGTACACATTACACACATTATTACAAATAACTTCATTTCTGGACATTTATAGTTTGATTTCTTTGTATGTATGGATCACTTGGGTTGTTACTGACATCTGGTGAAAATTTCATGTCATTAGCACCTCTAGTAATATATTTACTGAGAAAAATGGTGACGTGTTCAATACTTATTTTACCCACTGTATATCTCAAATCTGGACCTTCTTTAGTAAAGCAGTCACCTCAACATAATGAAAACTTATAAGATTTCTCAAATGTCAGATTGTCATGTTGATGAGTTTGGGCAGTTGGTGACAGAGGATATTATTTATATTCATTTATATTTATGTAAAAACGTAAAACTCCAAGGAAGTAAACCAGTGATGAAAAGCTTGACTTTATTATAGTCTGCTGGAAACTCCATACATACTGTACATCATCATCTTGTGGAGTTCTTGTTGATCAGTTTCTGCTTATTCTGTTTTGTTGGGTGAATTATTGCTCAACCTACTATCATGACCAAAGAAAAATTCTAACTTTTTAACCCCTTATCTTGGCACAGTGTGTTTGTGTGTCAGAGTTTGGATGTACTTTTGTTGAAACAGTCGGAGGTCATTCTGGATTTCTGCACCAATGCCTGGTGAGATATCTGCCTTGGGAAGAAAATTCAAAGGAGTTTGAGAGATATTGCATCTCAGAATGACAAAAAACGTAAAAAAATTACTGTACATTTTCTTCTGACAAACCCCACAACAGCTGCCAAGTGTGAAAAAAAGAAAAATGCTTCAGGAATAAACGTTTGTCAAGAACAAATTTGATCAAGAACCTTAACATTACAACACACTTGGACATAATATAATGACATTATTAAACAGGAATGTATGCTCATGTACAGAAATGATTCCTTTTTAAACTTTCATTTTGGATATTTCAAATGACTGATTGCAACATATTTTCTGGTTTTAAAAGCAGCTTCTTCTGGTTTGGGACAATACTTTTTGTTAATGGATATAAGGACTGTCTTTGTGTTTATTTCTGACATTCTCCCTATTCATTTAGGGATCATAAACCTATCATTAGTCATCATTTAAACCCCCTGACTCTCTTAAAAGTGGCTGATCTGCAKTCTACCCTGGAGCTACATTGACCATAACTACCCCTGGCTTTCAGGTTTTGAGAGAAATTATGACCTTAATAAAGTTGACTTTGCAATATTTGCATGCATAAGCATTTTACAGCTGATACAAAATGTCTGTCTGGCTCTGTTTTAGGGCTCCCCTGGAGCGTCTCTTGGCAGTCGACAGATGTCCTCATGACATAATGCACGGTGAAAGAAAGATGAAAATGCCTTTTAAAGTTGATGTTATATGGGCACTTGGGAAGTGCTTGTTGTTTCTTCAGTTTGAAATAAAAGACAGTAGCATTACACATCATCATTTGCTTCAGCAAATTTGGACAGTGTCAATCTTTTACAGAGAGGGTTTGGGGAAAAGGTTGTAACTTACCTGTTGCAGATGTCTGAGTTTAGAGAAAATGTCTGTACCACTCATGTCTTGAAAATAGTAAAAGAATTTTGAGAAACTGCTGTTATGTAAACCTTACTTTAATGTTGCAATACGCACATTTTTATATACATTTTTATGTTTTTTTTCATACAATAGCAATGGTAGCAGCTGTAACACTTCCTGACTGTATAGGTCGCTTATCCTGCCAACAACGCCAAAATCGGTCGTGGCATGATTTACCAAGAATGCAGAAACATGGTGGAATAAATGCACAGAAAGTCTGCATGTATGGTCGTCAAAATGATTTAATTCTGAGCAACAACACAGCAGACAGTCAATCGGGAAATCTGCTGAGTTGTGACTGGCAGCGGAAAGCAGCCAATGATATACATCATGATAACATCATGTGACAGTTTACAACCAATCACAATTCAACCACTGTAACCACCCAACCAATAACAGGGCCCTCAGCCCGGGAGCTACTTTATCAAAATAAAGAGAGGTCACGCATTTCTGGAGTCTTGAAGTCTGGGCTGATAAAGTAAAACAGCCGAAACTGGTTATAATAAGATATGGTTACTGGACAGTGTCAAGGTAGAACAGATATACATAATTAATCCATAACAGAATCAATGTATAATGCAAAACTGACATCAGTCTGAAGATTTTTAAAACAGTTTTTGCAGAAGCTACTGTGAAGTTTTGTCAATCCAATTCAAATGAAACTCTACTGTATGTCTCAAGTCATTCACAAAGTAATCTACAACAGGTGGCATGTTGTTTAATTGTAACATTTTCACAGAACCCCATTAAAAATACGAAGTTTTTATTCACCAAAGCATAGTGAAGGCCCTGTCACAGTGGACAACTTATGCCAACTTMTGAACATTTTAAAGACATCTACAATGAAATTGGAAAAATCAACAGGAATCTTCTTTTCAGCATATACATAATGTAATTTGAACATATTGATCAAATATATAACTTTTATTAGCAATTTAGACATAGGAAATGTTTCATTGGCATAAGTTGCCTAATGTGACAGGGCCTTGAGTTCCACAAGTTCTACAGTAGATGCTTGGATCATAATGTGAAGTCAACACGAGTGTTTCCTATAAATGAACGAGTCAGTTTACACTGAATCCGTCATCATTGTCTCTCCTTTATGGCACAGGATATGACAGCATTTAACTTATTTAAAAGAAGCAGTGAACTCCTGGTTCTTATTATCTTTCTGTGTCTGGATAAAAAAAAAAAGAGCCAGTGCTGTAGCTTAATTCTCATGATAAATCCTTCACCAGAATAACTTGGTGTGTTTATCCAGTAGTCTTTCTTGTTGTAACTCGGCTGATTAATGCCTCATTCTCAAAACAAGGAATGCTGCACTAGGTGATCTCCAAGAAACGTTGTTTATGGGYCCCTGTTGGATAATAACGAAAAGGGAATTCTTCTGATATTTGTTGTATGTGCAGCTTTTATGTCATTTAGGATTTGTGCTAATATCTCAGGAAGGATTTCTTTCAGTTTCGTAGTGCTTCTTTATACATACAGAATCTTTCTGGTTCTTCTTTTCTTTTTATTTAGCAAATTTTGTAGAACCTTCCTATTGAAAATAGATGTAAATTATGATCAGTGACACATTAAATGAGCTGGATATTCTCARCAGTTTCAAAATGACTGATCATCAAAATGCCAACATAAACTTGGAGACACGTAAACAAGTATGAAGTATGCGTGTTTACTTTCTTAAGAGTTCTATTAAAATATATACAGGGTAATTCAAGAGATATTTTGCTAACAGTAAAGACCAACAAAAACGCACACACAGGGCAAAAACGTTATCGCTTATAGGTGGTAATAATAATAATAAAAAAGGTTTATGTAAGTGAAATAGCTTGGTTTTTTTATATTTAAATTTGACAAATGTTCCAAACGTATTGTATTTTTTTCTCCCTCTCCATTCTTATTAAAATGTGACACATATTTTCAAAWGAATAGGCTCTTMTTTAGATTTTAATTTGGATTGTTTTAGTTATATTTCAGTTTATTTCTGAAGTCAAACCTGTGATAAGTAGAAACAAGCTGTATGAAGTGAAAAGCTGAAGGAACATGAGGCGGCAGCTCAGATCCGCAGCAGGTTTTTGTGTCTCAGTGGAAACATAAAAGGGGGCGGGGCTTGCGGGGCCCCCTGGCAGCGCTGGACCTCACAGCTTCCTGACTTCTTGCTGGAGTTGGACGCAGCTCGAGCCCCATAGTGGATTTAAGAAGCGCCCCTCAAGGGGGCTTTCAGAGCAAACAGGCGCTCCGACTGCAGAGGACGAACAAAAACCGGACTCTACTTTTTTTTTAATTAAGAACATTTTATTAAGAACTATCTTAGACCTTTGTGTCATTCTCAAATCTTTTTTCTCCCGCTGACAAAATTAAACTTATTTTAATACTTTTCACATTTCCAATTTTTTTTAATTTTTTTTTGCTGTAGATCGTTTATGAGAAGAGAAAAAGTTGAGAAGTCCTGTGAAAGGAGTTTTAAGAAGCGGATTTAAGCTTTTTTAAAGAGGAAAGAGCTACTCTTATCACATGTTCAGGTGAGTTGATGGGTTTTACGTCATAACAGGTATTATTATTATTATTATTATTATTATTATTATTATTATTATTATTATTATTATTATTAAATAATAATAAATCAAGGCTTAGGCTATTTGATCATTTTAAAGACTATTCCTGATTTTATGTTTGAAACTTTTTAACGGTTCCTGATTGACAGTTCTGCAAAAATACTAATTTTAATACTTGTTTTCTCTCACTTGTGACATTTTCATTCATTCATACATGCACGGTTGCAAAAGCCCCCCAGACMGGTCTATTTTGTCTCTCGGGGCAAAGGAAGTTAAAAAATCTGAAAAGGACAGAGATGCTTTGACGGGACAGGTGGAAGCTGTTACCTGATGGATTATTTGTGAAAACCTCTGTGGGGAAAGTTGACCTGGGTTCACCTGAGCTGATGCATCAGAAGTTTGGTGGTTTTATTCATGGATCATGCAGATGGATCTGTTTCTTTGCTTATAGTGTCACACAAGATCCAAATCTGACTAAMTTCAGAGAGGTGCTTTTGCTGTTGTTCTGTTTTTTTTTCCACTTTGAGGATTTGAATTAAAACCCTTAAATCCAAAGAAAAACACAAATCACATTTTTCTTTCAAATGTTAAAATCCACATCTCATTTTCAGTCTTGTTTTCACTGTGAAATAAGTCACCTAGCAGTGTAGCTGACGGTTTTTAGGTGAACAATAAGAAAAAAATGGCAGTGTGAATTTATAATAAGATTTATTTGCAAATAAAATCAGTCCAAAGAAACTGTAGATGCTTCTYTTCTCTCATGAGCTGCCACATTGTGGGAGTAAGATTTAGTTATGGGAAACAAACACTTTGTTAGATACCCAACATTTAGATTCCACTTTAAAAAAACTATTTAACTTTGACAACAACATATTTTGAGTTTTGTGTAATTTGCACTCATCTCACCCCACCCATTCCATCAATCAACACAACTGATTTTATATAAAAAGGTGCCTTCTTGACTAAATCTCACATTTCTGTTTTGATCTCCTGTCTTCTGTCAGTTGTTGCAGGATCCTCGATGATCCCCTGCCGTGGTTTGTTCAGCAGCTCTGAATCAAACTAATTTGGAGCACGTAATGCACATTTCAGCCGAAGTTCAGGCCAGTAGGTTTAGTTACAGGAGGAAAGTTCATCGGCGGTCTTTGGCAACTCTTTGCTCAGAGCTGTGGCACCTTCTCCAGTTCAATAAATTCCCAGAGTGGGAGCTCCCTTTCGGTATCTGAATAATTGATAGATCAAAGTTAGGGCGAACAAAGGAGGCAATTTAATCTCCTGATTATTTGATGAGCTTAGTTTCCCTGAGCTCAGCTCAATGTGGCTCATCCAAGGGGAAAGACATAGTTAAATGGTTGAGGAAGCAAAGACAGAGAAGTCTTAAAACTTACAGAGAACCATAGATGCTTTATGAAAAGACTAGTGAGTGATGATAAAAATAAAAAAGTAGGTTTACATTATAGATCACAAGAGGACAAAAGCATTCCTCTAATTGCTACAGTTCAACATCACCTCAGCCTTTGTGTGATCATACAGATGGGTTTATGTGCCCTTTTGGTTGCTAAGTTTTAAAAGAATATCTGCAGAATAAGAGAGCTTTTTCCTGTTACTAAATCAAAATTTGACCAAGAACCAAACAGGTGCTAAAGAATCCAAATGCTCCGATTCTAGCTTTTTTTTTAAACAACTGTAAAGACTTCATTCAGAAGGTGTCTGTAAGTCTGAGTCATTAAAGGTTAAAGTACCTGTGACATTAATTTTTGTAATACATATGAATGCAGTTTTGAAAAGATGCCATTGACAAAATATTGCAAAAGAAATTTCATGTTGCTGAGATAAACAGTTGTTGAGATTTTTGACCCTAAAGTAACAGGAAGTGATGTCATAGGGGAATGTCTGACTGTGAACAGAGCAGTACTAAAACAGGTAATAACAGACTGTAGAGAAGAATCTGATGTTTCTTAAGATTATGTTGAGTCACTATCAGAGAGATGAAGAAGAGTCAGAGTTCAAATAGAGTTGTTTTAATAAACAAAGACCAGAGAGCTTTCTTTGCTAAAGATTTCCCCTTTGATGTCACTTCCTGTTTCACTTTGGCTTAGTCAAGTTCATAAAAAAATATATGGGACAAAATGGGTAAAATTGTGTGTATTATTCCAACTTTCTTAAATATAAAAATGTTTTTTTGACTTTTTGTATTTGAAGAATATGCATGTCACAGGTACTTTAAGAGATATAAAAAAAAGTCTGAATAGTGTTTTTGATTTAAAAAGGATGCATTTATTTCTGTCCTAGGCCTGGTCATTAGAAGTCATTAGAAAATATTTATTTCTCTATATATTAAGAAAGAATGTTCCTTTGTTAATTTTTTTCAGGTTTCTGAGGACCATTTTTCAAAGAAGTCAGGCTAGGTTTAATTTCTTTCTATGATCAATTAGGTTCACATGTTTTGCAATAATACCAGTTCTGCTTCTTTAACCTTTGTTTCCTAAATTCCAGTGTTTAAATAAAAACAGCTTCAGAGTCATCCTTCATTAAATGAGTTGTAATCAATAGAGTCAATATTTTTGGTTTCAAATAGAAAAAAAATATGCTTTTTAAATAAATTGTAGAATTATATACATTTAATTTAGTATCAAACAGGTCATTCAGTGGATTCAGTGAATGAGCCCGAATCAGAATTTTCCCCTTTAATTTATTCTTTGAATGCAGAGCTGTCTTCTGGAATGTTTAGACACACCAAATGGTATTGTCCTTAGTGTGATTCAGAGCCACAAGCAACTCAACGGCCAAATATGGTTCTATTTTTCTTTATTGAGCTGCGAGGGAGGACCTCCCATCGCTCAGATACGAACATGTTCTGTGTCCTCTTCACACGGGAGCTGTAAATACAGGCGCTGCTTGACACTATCTGAAAAAGATCTCAGCTCCAAATATAATAAAAGCCTTCAGTCTGGGCTGGTTCTTGCTTTTTTCCCAGAGATGTCTGTGCTGCTCCAGAGGCTAAAAAGGCTCAATTAGTGACCCCGAGCCAAACACAGCTTGAAATGTCTCGAACTTAAAAATTGTTTGTGGTATTTGGTTTCCTTTTTGTGTGATTGATCATTTCACTTAACCAGTTGCAACCCAAATTACTTTTGAATCATGCATACTTAAACCCTTGTGCATCAAACCACAATGATTACAGTTCGAGACAATTTCCACATCTTTGTTACAACTGGTTGCAATATTGATACAAATCCTTCTAGCTATTGGAAAATACTTTTAAAGCAATTCACTAAAAAGCATTTAGCTAATTATTTGCCTTCTTTGCAACATTTTAAACATAAAATATGATTTCATTCTTGTGTCTGAGTAACAAATAACCAACTTTATTCCCGATTCCGTGGCTTTGCATAACAGCTATAAAAGTTTTAATGTACCTTTTTAGTTTTATGAGGGGTGAAGCTGGGGGCTGTTTCTTGGCCAGCCACGACCATTTCTACAGTATGTTTTGCAACAATTAACATCTTAAGCAACTTTAGACCTCATGGGGTTACACCTGGCGAATRTATAGGCAATAAATCGAACTAAAAACCCCAACTTGTCATTTTAACAAGACTATTTTAAAGTGATTGAATGAGAAACATTGTGCTAATGAGTGAGYGTTGCTGTCAGTCAGGCTAGGTTACCTTTATGTAGAGCCAATTTGTGTTTCCAATTTTTATTTTAAACTAAAAGGCTTAAAATTTATAGAACTCTTGGGGAAAATGTGACTAAGCCTATTTCCTAAATGTCAAAACTTGTCATTATTGTTTTCCTCAGAGTTAATCTGTTGTGTTTTTGATACGTTCCACATAAAAGCCATGCTAAGCTTTGTTTTTTTTTTCTTTTTCTGCTCTGTTTCTTTTTTCTTCCAGTAGACCCTGGTTCTGTCAAGTCACACATAGTCAGAATCCCACAGCCGTCCTTGCACACCATTATTTAGGTCCTTCATCCTTGCGTGCTTACGAGTTTATGCTCTCAATTACACCAAACCTGCCTAAGCCAGATGGTTTCTTGCCTGCAGCGCTTCATAAACTTCATGGGTTGACCTACAGGCACTCCAGCACGCCTCTTCTTCATCGCTGGCACTACCCACTGACCCCCWTCGAATTCCACCCCCTCCGTCTGTTTACGCCACCTCCAGCGCAATGGCTTGTTGCGCCTGGGACTTTTCTGGATGTGCAATCGCAGCGTCGCACTTCATAACTCAGACTCGTGGATTTACCAGCCAGTAGAGTGAACGGTTTCAGAGAGACTGGGGGGTGGGTGGATGGTGGGGGGCGAGGAACAGACAAGCTGAAGGGAAGCAACGCAGCAGAGGGTTCATTAGTTCCAGCAGCAGAGGAATCCACCTGTCCCACGAAGGAAGGGGGATCACCCCCTRCCTGATCCGTCTGGTTGCAGGGGGGTACCTTGCGCAGCCTGGAAGGCAGCAGAGACTATGCAGCTGGGATTGGTGGCGCTGGCGATGATCTTTCTCAGCTCCATGGGTCACAGCGACGTTCTCAAGCTCTCCAAGGCGAGAAGGCAGAGACGGGGTGAGTTCTCACTTCATCACTCCATCTTGTTTGTTTCTTCTTCTTCTTTTTTTTCATCGGATCAATCCTGCTTTTCATTTTTTAAGTCTGACTCACTGTGGTGGACGTCTTATAAACATTTAAYAAGCAAAGTAAAGATAACATTTTGTTTATTTTCCCATCATTTCTATTTGTTTTTCATTGCGGGTTATGTTGGGTTCAGAGTTTCCTCGGAATGGCTCATCTTTCTTGCTCTTCTAGGATTATGCCTCCCTCAGTTTATGTTCAATGTTTTATGGGTATTAGASTTGTTTAGAGTGGACTTTTTTTGATGGATTCTCTCTCAAAGACATTGCTCATTCTGTGTCGGCTGTGTGGGCACATAATAGAGTGAGTACCTGACAGTTCTAAGCTCTCACTTGAATCCCGCTGCCAATATTGGTGCTAGCATTTTTCTGACCTCATGCGAGTACAAAGACGGCGTTCAGATCGACTTGCAGTATATACCTCTGGCCTCAAAGTGGTGTTTCTGTCAGCTTTGAAATAATTCTTCCTTTACACACGAGGAGCTTTCAGCCAATGCCAAGCTCGCCCTAACTTCTCTGAGCCAAAATACATATAATACCACAACTGGCCACAGTAACAGATGTGCGGCTAATATAATCACGCATACTACGAGGGGAAAGCCATAAAATAACTGAATATCTATATGATCACACAAAGATGCTGTCAGAGCWGATCTTGTAGCGCTGAGATGAAAACAGAAGATATGGCGTAACTATTTCCCATCAGAGTGTCTCAAACATTTGAAGTTTTCTCCCTCTAGATATAAAAGATGTTAGTGATTTACACATCTGATTTACAGCTTTTTACGTCTTTGCTGTGATCAAATTCAGTTTTTGTCAACTGGGCCTCCTGGTAGACAAACAGCTGAGAACAGATCTTCGCCTGCTGGCCTCCTGAGTTGTTCCTCAGAGGGAATTCAGTCGCATGCGAAGATCGAGCTGAAGCAATTTGAGAGGAGAGAAGAAACATTACCCCTAAGCTTCAAAAAGTCTTCAAAATCAGTTTAAATCATCTTTTTTTCCAGTGTTTATGGATATCCGTTTCTCCGCCGGGTCACTGTTACCTCAATTATGATTTGCAACCAATAAAACTTGGCTGTAATTACTGCTGCTTACCATTATTCAGACATGGAGTAATCAGTTCTTGGAAGGCCTCGTCGACACTTGCTGCCTTCTGACTTATCTCTGGGAGGCAGACAGATTGGTGTGTGTGAGAGTAGCGCTGATAGAGCAAAAAACTGTAAATCAACTCAGATGACTTTTGCGTTTGCTCATGAGGATTCCTAGTAAACGGATGTGTAATTTACTGCACATTTCCTAGAAAAGATTCAGGCTACTTTTTGTGTGTGCCTCGTTTTTTTAATTTAATTTAATTTTTTGTTTTTCTTTTTCTTTGAAAGTTGAGGAGATTTGATCCATCTCTATATCTGGGATGAATAAACAGAAGTGTAAACGGCTCCGTAGTGCATGTTTGATTGGCGGAAATGGCCGCTCTGTATTCTGATACTAAACTGAAACACTTGTTCTGCTTTCATTGTATTTCTGTCCATGCTATTTGGTTGCGCCACAACCGTTTCTGACTCACCCAAGTGTTAGCCGGCTGATTCTGAACGACTCTCGCTTGACTGTCAGCCATAATCCCCCCCCCCCCCCCAATTTCTTCACACGAAAATCTGTTAAGTATCTTCAGCAAGCAGTTTTGAAATAAACACTGCGAAACTGTTCAAACAAAGATGTTTGGCCGGCTCCATTCACATTAAGCTGAGAGCTTTCACGCCTGTTTGTTGAACCGTTAATGCGCCGGCATTGTTGAGACTTTTAGCAAAGACAGAAACAAAATATTAAAGTTCCCTGATGTTAGAAGCAGCACTCTGATGAATTTCTATTTTTACTCCCTTTAAAAAGCTCTTATGCAGGCTGGAAAAGGTAGAATTTTTATGCCTTGCTACTCCTTGTTCTGTTCCCTCATTGCAACTCTTCTTTTCTTTGTGTTTTCAACAGTTAGTACAGAGGGACCGCCGTCTTGCCCCAAAGGCTGTGACCGATGTTCTGAGTACAATGGCTGCATTAAATGTAAGCCAAAGCTCTTTATCTTTCTGGAGCGCAATGACATTCGTCAGATAGGAGTGTGCCTCGCCTCCTGCCCCATGGGATACTTTGGCATGAGGAACCCAGAGGGCAATAACCGATGCACACGTGAGTTTTACCCTGTAGTCTCCTTAAATTGCTGATGTCCATTCTTTTCGGACATTTTGAAGACTTTATAGTTGCAGCACAGTGAGATACTAACTTAAGTAATGAGAATTTAGAGCCGAAAGAACCAGTTCTTCTTGGTAAGTTGAGCCAAATGATCCAAATCTCAAAGAATAATTGCATTTTCATCACTGCAACTCAGAAGCCAAGCTTTAAATAGGCAACCTGACAAACATGATTGCAGGCAACAATTTGACAATTGACTGGCAAGTGGTTACTGAGAGAAMGGCTGTGCTGATTAGAGATAAAAGACAGGTGTGCAAGATGCTGAAAGAAAACCAGAGGCGTATAAAACACCTGAAAAAATTAACTACGTTAAAGTAAAAATACCTTAACTCTTTGGTAAAAATGAGTTTCACAGTAAGAAAAGTACTTAATTRAATGACATAAAACTGCTCACCAGAATCAGGAAAGTAAAATGAAGTGTTAATTTTAATTAACCAAGTTATGTCAGCTGGTTCCAATAAGCAGAGTTAAGAAGATGTAAAGTAATTAACATAACATTAAAATAACTCGTTTTCTTAAAAAGAAAAAAAAAGTGAAAATTTCTTCATTTGCTCAACTTGGTTTAGTGGAACTAGTTGACATGACTTCGTTAAGTAAATTCAACACTTCATTTTTTTAAAGTACAACAACAAATTTTAAGTTTTGAATTKAACAAAATGAAAGTAAAAGTTTTGATTTACAAAAATACTTGATACTTGGCCCTGTTTGGACCTGTCCAGGGGGTACCCCTCCCTCTTGAACAGTGACTGCTGGATATGGGCACCAGCGACCCCTGTAACCCTGAAAGGAAGAAGTGGGTATAGATAATGGATGGACTTGGTAAAAAAAAATCAGAATCTCAAAAAACTGACTKAAGTGCTGTAACAAAGTAAATGTACTTTGTTTCTACATCTGTGAAGAAAACTGACATCAGCTTTCAATGATACTGCAAAACCTAAGAACACGTCTTGATAACCAAAAAGACTCAAATATCAAACAAGAATTACTCCAAACACCAAAAACTCAAATGAAGACCCCAGTATCGTGACAAGCATTCATGATAAATGCTGAATGATTATGAAAGGTTTTTGCATTTTTGCTACATGAATATTGTTTACGCATCCAGTTGAAAACATTCACATAAAAGTCCAAACCAGCAATAACAGCAGGAATGTCGGCACTGAAATGATCTTCTTGCTGGTTGCAGGCAGGTTTGGCTCATTTAGGAAGAGGGCAAACTAGTGACCGCACTCACAGTCCTTAATAAAATACTTTGAAATTTCATTGTGGCCGTGGTTCTGTGCTTTTAGGTGAGGAGAGCCAGCAACTTGGTCTGCTCTGTTTTTCCTTATGAGTGGGCAGAAATAAAGATTGGGCTGAAATTCCAGCAAAAGCATTTTTAATGCCTTGTTTGTTTTTTAAAGGGAAGTCCGTGTTTTTTTCATTTGGCTCTCATCTGCAGGGTTCATGTGAGGCTACGGGGTTTGTTGTGTTCTCACTTTTAAACAGAGCTTTTGATAAATGTTCTTGTATCAACCACTGTCTTCATAAGGTTCACAAAAAGGAAACTTCTGAATATGCAAAAAAATCTGAAATTACATATTTAATTCTGTCACTGTATGGTTTTAATACACAAATAAGAGCCACTGCTTTTAGAAGTAAATGGATTGTTTTTGTTTCTATAGATGATATCCAGTCTTTTACATCAAAGACCATATTCTTAATTATATCTAACTGTTAAATGTCTGTTGCTGACAAACACACAAGCTTTTCTAAAACTTGGCAAAAAACAAGGCTTTTGCAACAAATTAATTTGCATTTGTTGTTCTTTGTTTATTCCCTGTCCAATTTTGTAGCAAAAAGGGCTGAAGCCCTCCTTTAAATTCTTTTCAGACGCCCTCAGTGGCTAATCTGGGTTATTAACCAATCCTTTGATGTTGTACATATCATTTTTCAATGTCTTGTTAGAAACATTTGTTTTACATTTTAGGGCCACAAACATCCATAATGTCGGATTTAGCTGTCAGAGGTTTAAAAATTCTTTATTGGGAGCAGGAGGCAAAAATATCAAGATCCCACTGAGGCATTAAGTGCTTTGTTATTTCTGATTGGTGTAAGACCAACCGCAGGGTGAATATTAGAAATTTAGCAAACATGACTTTTATTAATACACGATCTGAACACAAATTAATAAAGAATCAACACATATGTGCAGATTTCCTCCTTTGTTTTGATTTGTGATTTGTTGGAGTTTTTTTAAGTTCCATTTGTTGGTGTTTGTGATTATCCCACATTTGAAACATTTCTGTTTTCAATCTGAGATGTTTTTGAGCTTAAATCCGAAAATCTAGTGTTGACAGAACGAACACAGCAGTTTGCAGCCCAAAAAAACAAGACTTTAATTTGAACTTACTAACCCTGTTCTTTTCCTCTCTGTGTTTTTCAGAGTGTAAAATAGACAATTGTGAAGCATGTTTCAATCGCAATTTTTGCACAAAATGTAAGGAGGGCTTGTATTCACACAGTGGGCGGTGTTACGTCAGCTGCCCTCCAGGCCAGCGAACGGCCAATGAGACTATGGAGTGCGTCGGTGAGTGATTTTGTCCTTCAGCTTTATACCAACTTCAAGCATTGCTGGAATTATTCAATCGCCTCAGACATCAGAGAGATCATTCTGATCTTTTAAAACTGGGTTTCTGTGGAAAGGTTGGTAAAACTAACATCTTACCCACTGTAGACATGAAGGGATTTATTAGTCATTTAGATACTGATTTGAAGGCACCACATCATTTTCTTAGTTTTCCTTTTTAAGGCTTGACTTTTATAATCTATTGTTATGTCGATTAAAATAGTTTAGTTACATGCCCGAAACACCTTGACAACACAAAATAAAACCGTTRATAAGCATTGCTGTTCAGAGTGTCTGCGATTCAGCYGTAGGCCTGTAGGGGGCGTACCAGGCACTGAAGATCCCTGTATTTATAGACCGGAACTTCCGGTTTCGGACAGCGCTGCTCTGCTTGCTTCAGCCGTAAGCAATAAAGCTCGCTCAGAACCAGATCTGGGGTTGTATGGTCCATTCTCTTCACAATTTTAATCAGATTCAACATTTATGTGATCTTGTCACAATTTCAATTAATGAACACTAAATTTTCTTACAGACAGATGTTGGAATGATCGCAGTTTGGAGAAACAAAGATGAACAAACTAAACGTTAGTCTGAGTTGGGCCTTGACCACAATGAATTGTTCGTCTAAAACAATTCCGATCTCAGATGTTTGTTCAAGTGGGTCATATAATACTTAAAAACCTTTTAAAATGATGTCAGCTCCATAGGAGATCACAGAAGTTGAAGCCAGGATGGGGACAGCMTTTTCACTCTAAGTTTCACGTCCCTATCACATAAAAGAACAGGACTTTTCCCATTTTAAAAACAAAATAAAGGCGTTGAATCTTATATATTCTTGTGGTTCATGACATTTATTTGTTATTTCATATTTGAAAGAAAATATCCAGTAACTCCGTGACTGGGTGTGGGGGAGAAGACAGGACTTAAAGCCTTGTATGCTTAGCGCACAGACTCTGGTTCCAAAAATAAAACATTRCAGCTCCCATAAACCGGGTCCCACTGGCTGCAAGTCTCATAAACCAGAGATGGCAGGGACACTTGTTTTAGTGACATACAGTATTAGGTCAATGACTCCAGTCCAGGGCTGCAGCAGAAGAGCTACAACTAGCTGCTGCTGGGGGAAATAACCATAGAACTTTTTGTAAAAAAAAAAACCCTGTGATGCATGGTTGGAGTGGTAAGATATCACCAGTCACTAGATGTGCCCAGAATAGCATTAGCTCGCCAGTTCAATCGGAAATAAACTCTATTTCCCAGATTTGAAGTCAGTCAAACAGCTATCTACAGCAGGTAAGAYAGTTRTTTRTTACCTTTCCACAGAAACTCACTTTAAAAGATCTGAACTGTTGCTTTATCARTTTGAATCCTCTATGGAGACTCTGMTTTTGGTATGTTAGGTTTTTGTTTTAACTCAGTTCATTCACATTTGTCATGATCACMGTTTGCCTAATAACAATACATTTTCAGTTCCTTAGCAACTGCACAAAGCTGTTGTTATCCTGCTATAAATCTATCAACAAATCACAAATTGTTTTCAGCTGTGTAAACTGCCTCAACTTATTATCCTGAGATAGACCTACTGAGGTGTGAAAAACAGACAGAAAATATGAAGCAAATGTGAGGTGTTCAAGTCACAGAACTACTCACTCAGCAGCTTTTGCATGTTTTTATTTTTGTATTTTTGTATTTTTTTTTTTTTTTGTCCCAGGTCAGCGTGCTTCAGAGTGTGAACTGGGAGAATGGAGCCAGTGGAGTTCCTGCATGAAGAAGAACAAAACGTGCGAATTTAAGCGAGGCTCCCAGTCCCGAGTTCGTTTACCCCTTCCTCAGACCCACGGCACGGACAGCTTCACTTCCTTTGTGCCCTCACAGACCTGCGTGCCAGAGACTGAGAGGAGGAAGTGTGTGGTGACCAAGAAGCCTTGTGTGAAAGGTAACTACCATCCAGAAAGTAGTTTTACAAAATGTAAACAACCTTTAAGGAAGACATATAATGTAGTTTAAAGAGCCAATACCGTATTATGTGTTTCTCAAGCATATATTTAAATACTATACCATAATAGAGTATCTATGTCACCTTTAGCTGATACTAAAATGCTGTTTTTATGTTTAAATAGAAAATAAACTTATCTTCTCATCACTTCCTCTTCTAAACACCTTGAAATTGGCCTCTGTCTCTTTAAGAACCACCTTCCGCTTCTGTTTTGCCCATTTCGGTGCCGGGGGTGGGGTGGGGGGGCTGCCATGATGCAGTTTACTTGGCATCTGAAAATACACTTCCTCAAATGTATTTTTTTAATCTGAAAAGAGCTTCATTGAGTGAGAACTAATGTTGAGAGCTCAGCAGACAGTTAGGTTTCACTTTCACTTTCACCCGAGAGCCTGCAGGAGTCATGGGCAAGGTGTGTGTGTGTGTGTGTGGGGGGGGGGTGCGCTCCACCATGAGGAAGTTCAGCTTAAAGACACGTCCCAGGGGCGTTTCTGGTCCCCACCTGTCGTTTTGCTCCTCAGCATGGCTTCCTAAAAACGCTGCAGGATTTCTCAAACATGCATGAATGAGTCAAAGCAAGGCTTTGGGCATGTTTTTTATGAGAGTATAACATTATAACATGATATAAAACTCAAAAAAAAAAGTTGATTTTACATGATATTGCCCCTTTAAAGCTTTGGTTGCAGATGATCCAACAGCTGTGTGTGTTTTCTGGATTATCTCAAACATCTATAGATAATGACTGATGGACTCGTTATTTAAAATCCCTCTGTCTGTCTGTGACCTGCTGCGTGTTGATTGGGGTTGATTTGGCAGAGGAAACAAAAAGATACAGAGCCTCTTGAAATTACCACATGTAAACAATAAACCTTATCCGCCAGCCAAAAAGCAGATGGGGGGCAGACGTTACGTGTTGCAAAGCTGGCCCAGGATCAGAGCTATACAGCGAGCCATTCATTCCGCGGACCGCTGAAGTGCGAGGTTTACGCGGCTGTGCACAGCAGCTTACGCTCCAGCAGTCAATCTCGCCACTCATCTGCTATTATCTACCTTAACAATAAGTTCTTAGTGGCTTTTGACCGTATTTGCTGCCGAAGCCATTGGCAGACAAATTTAGCAAAACAGTCCAGTCTGAGCTGAATCTGAAATGCATCAAAAACAGCAACATTCCTGGATGTTTGCTTAGACATTTTTGATATGTAGTGGTCATGCAAAGAAATAAATCTTTATCACCATTGATGTGTTAATGATAAACCAAGTAAAGAGAGTAGGTTTCTTCAATTGCATAAGAATTGCTGCTAATTAGAAGACAATAGCAAATAACTGTGTCTTTAAATACCTCCATATGTCAGTCGTCTTTGTACAATGCACCAATTTTGACAAAAGCTTGAGCTGTAAACGCATTTACAAGGGTTAGGAGAACTTTAGGCATAAAGCATTTAAAAGGCTTTATTGGACGGTGGCACGCTTAGGGGATTTTGGCCACAGCAGCAGCCGCAGCGTTGGCTAACAGCAGTTGCACAGTGTTGGCAACGGTGCCGATGTTTCAACACGTAACAGATGACTTTCTCTGATATACTGTATGTGAGTAAACATGCTGGAGGTTTGCAGATTATGTTACCATTCTCTAAACTTGGAAAGTTCCTTTAGGGCTCTGGATCTAAACAAGCGAACATGATATGATGTTGTCTTGTGCGCATCTGCGGTCGCGTCGGAATGGGAAGGAAGGTTGCAAACGTTGAGCGAGGAGCGGGGACTGGGTAGACTTTAACAGCAGAGCATGAGAAATGAGAGGCAAATTTACTGCTYCATCCTGGAAAAAGAAAAATAAAGAAAAGTCATGGGTTCAAAAGTATAATTAACAGTGAAATATTATAAACTGCCTTTTCTAAACGGTGCAAATGGAGCTCATATCTAGAAAAAATTAAGGATGATATGTGAGGTTTCGCTCGACAAGTGATGAGTCATACAAAGTTTGTGGATAACGTAATGGTCCACTGTTAATATTAAGGAGCTCTTTCTTCTGTTTTGGGCTAAACATACGCACAGGAATGACTTTTCGTTTGTGAGGTAATTGGTAGGTGATGGCACGATGATTTGAGCGCACAAGTTGATGCGGGTAAAAGAGCCCAGCTGTGGATTCATCTGTGGGAGCTGGCTGGCAGGCAGGCTGTATAAAACACAGGGGGCAGATCCTGTATAACATTTGTGATTTAGTGGTCTGCAGATCTCACGCTTTGTGTTGATTTGGCTGCAGTTCTTTTTCTCCCCCTTTTTTTCTTCTCTTTTTCTTTCTGAAGCACTACAAAAAAAAATAAAAGAAAAAAAAGAAAAAAGTCTCATGCGAAGGAGTTTTCTGGATGTGTCACTGCATTTGTCAAGCAAAACTGTTTAGCTTGGATGGAGAGGAGGTGCAATCAGCGCTGTCATGAACTGATGGGGTCCCCCTCTTTTGGCTCCATTAGAGATTTGTTAGAGGAGTAATTAAGTCCTTACACAGTGAGCACGTTTGCTCACATTCTGAAATGTTTTTTAAACAGGCTTCAGACTTGTTCAAAGTTGTTTTTCATTCTTACTATTCATGCTCAGTAATAAGCATATATTTAAATAGCTACCATTCATGCTCAGTATGCCATCGAAAGGCATTTTTGAGGACAAAACCTTTTGTAAACTTGAAGATGTTTGATAAATTTGTATTTATCTTATGCAATACTTTATAAATATAGCACCACATGACAATTACTACTATTTTTATTGAACTCTAGGTAATATTACATGCCCACCTTTGCACCTCTTTTTTTTCAGTTTTGGCCTCTAGTGACCTACAGTGACAGTAGACAGAACAGCATCACAATTGTGAAATTAAAAACAAGTGAATCAAATAAACGTAGCATTCTTTAAAGCAATGCTTAACACCTGCTGTCTTGCATACCAAATCTTAAAAAAAAAAAAAGATATGGCACAATATATCAGTGCTCAAAGTTTGTGTTGTGGATGACTCTCAGCCAGGGCCGACCCTAGCCAATTTGGCGCCCTAGGCAAGACTTCAGGTGGTGCCCCCCTTGAGCAATTTTCTAAATCTCACTGCCAATTTACATACATTCACATGCCAAATGAAAGAGTTTTGTCTTTGATATTATTTTTCATCTGTTAAAATAGTAACAATTAAAAACAATTGAAATTGAAACAGAACACCAGAAGTCTATTCTTGCCAACATTTTGCTGACAGCAATGAGGAAAACCTGTTGGTGTTAACGAGCAGCTGTGTATAGAAGGAGGGGTCCAGGGGTATACGCCCCTAAAATTCTTTTTCAAATGATCAACTCAAAACTTTGCATTTTCCAGCCATTTGAAGAGCATTTTACTAAGTTCTTGGGATTAATAAAACAACATAAAATATATATTTCTAATGAAAACAAGACTTTAACCCGAACTTTATCTGAGATCTTCAATTAAAATTTTATTATCTTTATTTTGCTTTCTATTTACACTCTGAGCACCAGTAGTTAGTCTTGACTGCATCATGTGATACTTTTG